CTATGGCTCCTATATGCAGCAGGTGATCTATCTCTTGTCATAAGATGATCTCGTGAGATGGGTCCCTAAAGAGGGACGGGGTGGGAGGGGGGAAGGGGAAGAAAGGGAATGGTGTATCCCTGGGAGATAGTTTGAAGTATCCATTTATCTAAGGTAATAAATTCCCATTGGTGGAGGAAAGGGAGTAAACAAAACTGGAAGAGATTATAAGGGTTTTGATTTGCTGGAGATGGTGATCTGGTTTTCGATCTTTCTCAAATTTGCTTATTGGATTGCCCCTGGTGGTTGGGGGTGTTGGTTTGAGACTGCCACCTCTGCTGCCTGTTCCGACCCCGCTGTTGGTAAGGGGGTTGTTCCTGTCTGTGGTACTGGAAGGGAGGCTGCTGGTATCTTGGCCTGTGGTACGGCTGTTTGGATCTCGTTGCAGGGGCCTGAATACCCAAGGATCAAAGGATGGCCCTGGAGACTTTCATGGACTGAAGAAGCAAATTGGTCTTCGAGGAGAAGAGATTGTTACTCTCAAAGGGCAGATCTTCTACAGCTCTCTGAAGTTGCCTTGGGAAAGCCGAGGAGTTGCAAGGTTGCTCTAGTGGCTGTGTCTGCTGCATCAAGCGCCGTCTGGAGCACTATCTGCAAAATTGCCTGGCCGTCAGAGACAATGGCCTTAAAGTGCCCTTTTTTACTATCTGGCAAATCATCAATAAATGAGTTCCTTTTTATATAATTGTTGTAGTCGTATTTACTGAAAAGGGCTTTATAGTTTGCCACCTTCAGTTGGAGTGTAGTAGACACATACACTCTCTTGCCAAAGGCATCTAGCCTTTTGTTCTCCTTATTGGATGGGGTTGAGCGATTTTATTGCTTGTTTCTCTGTTGTGCAGCGTCCACCACCAGAGAGTTAGGGGTGGGATGTGTGAAGAGAAACTCAGAGTCTGTGGGTGGCACAAAGTTTTTTCGATCCGCCTTTCTACTAGTAGGGGGAATTCAAGGCAGGTGTTTGCTGTAAAGTTTTTGCAGGTTGGAGAATGGCTGGATTGATAGGGAGAGCAATTTTTGAAAATGAGCTGAACTGTAGGATATTAGTAAGGTCATGAGGAGCGTTTTGTACCTCCTCCACTGGGATGTTCAGGTCTTGCACTACACGTTTAAATAAATCTTGGAAAGAGGTTACGCCCTCTGAAGTATTCCCAGTGGGAGGTAGCATCACTTCTCCCATGTCTGCTAATGATGACCTGTGAGCCAGAGACCCTGTGGCTGATCTGGGGAAGTATTGGCTCCCATCATGTCTCTGTGAGGAGATTCAGTGAAGCGTGAGAGTAGCTTCTTTATGTGTTTCATTACACACAATCTTTGTGCTGATGTAGATGTTGGTTCTACATTTGCCACTGTGGGGGGTATGCCACTGGAGGGGCCATCCACAGATATGGAGCCCACAGGGCTATCTGTGCTCTGAGGAGGTCTGGTGGCATGTAGCTGTATGTCCCCAGTGCCCCTTGAGGTTGGGGGGGGAGCCTCCAATGAGAACACTTCACATTCCTCCTCCTCTTCTTGTGAGAGGGGGGATTGCAGATCTGAGTCGTCAGAGAGTAGCGACTGAATATATCTATCTTCACTCAATATAGGAGAGTGAAGGGTTGAATCGATGCACAAGTCTTTACTCTCCCTGTAAGTGACCAGGGGAGTTTGCGATATGGAGGGCTATGCTAACTGAGAGGAGCCTGTATTTACCTCAGAGGTGAGAGGGAGAACTGTAGCCCCTAACTGTTGAGAAAAGGGGGAAGCATTCAGAGAGTGCTCTATTCCTTCACTGGGTGCCATCATGAGTGGCTGAGATACTGGTGTAGCTGTCATTGGGGTCAGCATTACCGAGCTTACTAAGGCTGGCAGAGTGGTACTTTGCCTCTATCGGCAAAGTGTTTGAAGCGCTTTCAGGCTTACTACGCTGTTCGCCCGAGGTATCTGGGCGGTCAAATGTGCTGAAGCAGCTCGTCTGACTAGCCAGACATTTTTCCCTCGGACTGTCTCTTAATGGGTTTCTGAGGTGAAGAACTTGCCCTACTTTTAGAGGGCTTAGAGATTTCCTTATTAGATGATTAGTTCTGCCCAGATCCTGGGTCAGAGGCATATCTTTTGTTGCTGTCAATATGGAGCAATTTTACTTTAAGCTCCTTATCTCTGTGAGACCTAGGTCTCATTTTAGCACTGTGGGGACAATCTCTGCACGAATAAGAGCTCCCTAAGCATTTGAGACAGGACTCATGTCTGTCGGAGGTGGACATCGCGCCGCTGCAGAGAGCGCAGCGTTTGAAGCCGGGAGAACTCATACTGGCTAGAGCGCTGAAGCAGCAATTCAAAACCGGACCGCTTTTTTCTTTCTTTTCCTTTTTTTTTTTTGAAAGTACCAGTAACAACTAAGCCAACGTTGAACAAGAAAGACTAAACACTAAACTAGAAACTAACTGAGAACTAACTAACTAAGCTAAGTGAGCTGAGGAGAGAGAGCGCTGCTGCGTTCTATCCGCAGCCAGGGACGATAGAAAGGAACTGAAGGGAGGCGGGGGGGGAGGAGGCGCACATGCACATAGCTAGTCAGGGAGTTTGTGCGTGCCATGCATGTGCAGCTCCTGCTGAGGCGCTGCTAGCAAAAATCCGTCCAGAGGCACTGGGACGGTCTACACCTGATGTGGAGCACCCCCAAGGACATCTCTAGAAGAAGGGCAGTTTTGAGGTCTGGAGACACAAAATGAATTGATGAAGGGGCACAGAACTGATGTGCAGATGGAAGGCAATGCGTAATTAATTGAGGGGCTGGAGACCACAGAGTTGATTGGCATTTGGGGGCTGGTGGAGACGCTGGAAGGCCTGCCCCAGCAGCACTTTAGACACATGCAGTGAGAGCTCTTGCAAGAACAGCAGCAATAGACAAGAGCCAAAAGAATGATCAAAGGATTAGAAACATGTCTTATAGTGCTAGCCTCAAAGTGCTTAATCTATTTATCTTAACAAAAAGAAGGTTAAGGGGTTACTGCAGTGAGGAAAGGCTCTGCCAATGGGGAGTTGCAGGAAAACACTGCAGTGCTGGGGAGCTAGCAGAGCTGCCCCCCACTGCCTGAGTCTTTCCTTGTTTTCCTGAAAACTGCATGTAGACAGTAAAGCATGACTGGGGGAAGTGAAAAGCTGTGTAGCGTATGTACCCACATCTCTCAGGCATGTCTTTATTAGTCTGAGCCAGGATTCATGATCACACTGCTATTTATATTCATACTATGGATATGCATATGCACACAACACTCTGTAGAAAGAAGTGTGCAGGGTAGATGCACTTTAAAGGGGCAAACAGCTTTGCTATACCTGCTCTTTTCTACTTGTGCTATAACTTTCATATTTAGGTTCAGATGCTGCAAACATACACATTCATGCGATTTCAATGAACTTATACATGGGTAATGTTACACAAGTGCATACGTGCTCCCAGGATTAGCTCCTGCTTTTGCTTCTACTAACAAATATAGCACCGTAGGCCTTTCTTTTAAACATCTTTAAGGTAACTTGTGCACTGTTTCCTCCCCCCATGAGAACCTTGTTGCTATTAGCATAGAAAACAATTGTTGTATATATAGTAGGAACCCTTGCCACTGAAAAATTACAGATCATAAAACAGATATAAAACAACATACCATAAAACAACAAAACATAGAATTAGTTAAAGAAAAAATAGAAAAATAGTGGGGTTGGAAGTCTTTTGTCAGAATAACACATAGTCCTATAGATTACATACATTTCAGAGTGATTAAATGATCCTGATTATATATAACTACTATTTAGTTCCACGATAATAGAACTTAAAGGATATGGTGTGTACATCCTCTAGTCAGTTGATATCTGGTACAGGAACATGACATGGTTCCAGAAGTAACCAAAGGAACAAAGCAACGAAGACTGCAGAATCTCATCAACATACCACTCTTCAATGCACCAGAGTACATCAGTTTTGACAAACCTGAAGCATGGACAGTGTGGACGCAGTAGTTTGCAATATTTTACATTGCAAACGAGTTTCACAAAGAAATTAGAGATATTCAGGAATCTTTTTAAATTTGTTATGGGAAAATAAGCAGAGTAAATCTTTAAATCCTTTGGCTTTACTGATGACAGTTGTAAACATTACAGGATCACAGAACATTAGGGTTGGAAGAGACCTCAGAAAGACATCTGAGGTCCAATGCCCTGCTCAATGCAGGACTAACTCTAACTAAACCATTCTAGCCAGGGCTTTGTCAAGCCTGACCTTAAAACCTCTAAGGATGGAGAGTCCACCACATCCCTAGGCAACCTATTCCAGTGCTTCACCATCCTCTTAGTTAAATAGTTTTTTCTAATATCCTACCTAGACATGCCCCTTCCCCCCCGCAACTTGTGACCATTGCTCCCCGTTCTGTCGTATGTCACCACTGAGAAGAGCCTCTTTCCATCCTCTTTAGAGCCTGTCTTCAGGTAGTTGAAGCCTGCTATCAAATCCTGCCTCATTCTTCTCTTCTGCAGATTAAATAAGCCCTGTTCCCCCAGTCTCTCCTCCTAAATCATGTGCTCCATCCCCCTAATAATTTTTGTTGCCCTCTGCTCGATTCTCTCCAATTTGTCCACAGCCTTTCTAGAGTGGGAAGTCCAAAACTGGACGCATTACTCCAGCCAGTGCCAAATAGAGGGGAATAATCACTTCCCTCAATCTGCTGGCAATGCTCCTACTAATGCAGCCCATTATGTCATTAGTCTTCTTGGCAACAAGGCACACTGTTGACTCATAGCCAGCTTCTTGTGTACTGTAATCCCAAGGTCCTTTTCTGAAGAACTGCCACTTAACCAGTTGGTCCCCAGCCTGTAGTAAGTTGATGGAATTCTTCAGACCTAAATGCAAGACTCTGCACTTGTCCTTGTTGAATCTCTTCAGATTTTTTGGCTCAACTGTCCAATTTGTCTAGGTCACACTGACCCTTATCTACCTCTTCCCCCAGTTTCATCAGCAAACTTGCTGAGGGTGCAATACATCCCCTCATCCAAGGTCATTAATGAAGATGTCTATGGAGATAGCTCCTATGAAAGGGTTCTGGCTATGTTGGGATTGGTCTTGTTTTGAGCAGGGGGTTGGACTATATGACCTCCTGAGGTCTCTTCCAACCCTAATTTTCTATGATTCTACATTTGATGCACACTTTGTACTTCAGAGAAATGTGGTTTGTGAAGGAGCATGTTTCCACCAGAGAATTCAAGAAAATGGGGGAAATACTGAATGTTTATAGCAGCTCTAAGTGTACTGGCTGAAGACTGATTCTAGGATTACAAAACATGAACATTATCAGGGACATGCAGATTATTGGATTAACAGGTAAAAATCTTTCACAGCAGCTATTAGTGAGGTCAGATTTAACCTTAGCTATAAGGAAAGCAAATCAGTCTGAACAAGAAAAACAACAGAATGAAAGTCAGGACCAACCTGAAAAATAGCTTAGACGCTATTAACAGACATTTAGTGTAAAAAGTCAATATCATAAAAGCCCTGAGACAAAAAGAGAGAAAACACAGGTTAAAAAGGATAAATTGCAGACTAGATGAACAAGTTGTTGAAAAAGCTATGTCCCAAGAGATGATGCATATCCACCCAGAGACACGATCTATAGTAAATGCATGAAATATAGACATTCTGCAGGTGCTTGCCACATTAAAGCGGTTGGGGAGTTGGCTCATATTACAGAAAATTTAAGATCCATTGTTTCTGGGATCTATCATTTGTGATGACGACCTACTTAGAGCGCGAAACTAAATAGCCATGGCAAAACTATTGACTTTAAAACTTACTCAGGAGCAGACATCACAGTCATCACAGAAGGGACTTACAATCACCTTTAGTCAGGAATGCAGGAACCTTGGTAGAAGTACATGGGGGGCATTATTGCGGCCCTGCCTCCCGCTCCTTCTCTTTCCATGAGGTCTCATCTCCTGGCCAGAATGGAAGCTGGCGCCAGGCTGTGGTAAGAGCCACCCAGGGAAACCATAATGCTGTTTGGAGCCCTGGACTCTCCATCTGCCCTGAGTGGCATGCCCCAGTGTGTGGGGATACAGGCTGGGGGCTGCTTTTCAGGTTCCTTAGCCCAGTACTCTCCAAGCTGGATGCCTTGCAAGGACTCTGGCATCTCTTTGGGAGGTTTTGCTTTCATTGTGTTTATTCAAGCCATTTGTACCTCTGTTATCACAAACTCTAGTTGAGCACTCTGGATATGTAAAAGCTTTACTTCTCTCCTTGGCCAAGGAATTTTGCTGTTTGCAACTAGTCCCTCATAGATCTAACAGTTCTGTAAATTTCTATGCACATCTAAGGGAGCACGAATGGACATGAGCACAGTCTGAGAACAAGAAGTTCTATACGCGCTCTGCCACTGGGAGAATGTCATTTATGTGTAATTCTGAGGTAAAAAGACACATTGGTAACCCCAGAATGAGAACAGAACCCCAGGACTCAGCACAAGCCACCACTCTGTCATGGACCGATGCATGCTGCAAGATCCTATTAATAGTTGCCTGGACCAGTGTGTATTACCGGATAAAAAAGAAAAAAATAAATCAGTCATACACAACAAAACCAAAGGGCAATGGGTGCCACTAATCACAGACAGAGCAAAGCTCTCTTGATATTGTTAACATAGGAACCAATATCGCAACATAATATATTATCATAATATCACTAAATGCCTCAAGGAAGAAGGCATGTAAAGGATGAACAAAATATAATTTCATTGTTAGCTTTTACTTCCCCATCTTGCTGACACTGTCCCCAAAATAACTGGGATTAATGGTAGATCGGACGCAGGATCTATTAGAATTCTGTGTCTTTAAGAGCTGAATTAAGAAAAAAATTAAGAAAAAATGTCAATTAACACTGCTTCATTTGCAGGTACCACTATACTCTGAATATGATCATAAATCACATGAGTTTTCACCTTACATCAGGTCAATTGAAACAGTCAACAAATACTATAAACAGTCTTGTAAACAATTGGAGATGCACACGTAGCATCTTACTTGTGGTGTATGTAAATCCTCAGCTGCTATACACTGACACAGCTCCATTGATTTGAAAGAAATCTGCTGATTTATGACAGCTGAGATGCTGCCTGAATATTTTAGAAGATCTGGAAATTATTCATATGGGTGATAATTGTTTCCCAATAATATATTGATAATGACAGATAGATTAGGACTGAAAAAAAGGAAGTATGTTTTATGATTTTGAGTTTTTCCTAATCTCTTCATCCCAATCGAAATCTAATGTGGCATCATCTAAATCTGTTATTGAGAAGAGAGATTTTCCTGTGACCACATTTTTATTGCTGGCATTTGCCAATGCAAAACATTTTCTTTTGGTGCTGATGCTCTCAGCATGGGTCTTCAGAGGCTGTTCCTGGCTTTCCTTGCTGTTGCTGGTGATATTAAGTGACAATGAGTTTTCCAATTTTGATTCAGGAGGGGAAATGAAGGAAAAGCTGGCTAGTTTTGCTAACGTGCTGGAGCACACCTTCATTGTGCTCAGGCCACCAGGCATTTCCTCTCCTTTCCTGCTCTTCTCTGCATCTGGAGGTAACACAGCATGGTGTCTAATAGCTGAAATCTGATTGGTCACTGACTGTCCAGTTGTAGGTTCTTTGATTTCTCTTTGTAAGGTTTCACGTTGTGGCTCTTCCTTTGTTTTGTTGGCAAGGGGTCTCGTCTCCAAACTTTTGTTTCCTAAATTAGTTGTTAACTTTTTCTGATGTTTCTCAGGGGGACAACATTCTTCCTTTGGCTGCTCTTCTGCTACCGTGCTCAAAAGCCTGTTAGGCTTAACAACAGTCTCGGATTGTGAGGGAGGCAATTCCACATTACTCTTATTTTCAGAAGAATGAACAAATTTTGTCCTCTGTCTGAATGAAAATTTAGCCAGTTTAGCCACTGGAGCTCCTGAAGTCTCAATGATTTCTGGCTCATGGGAACCTGTTGCCATTGCCTCCTTCACAGTTTGGTCTTTATTTCTTTTTCTCGTGGATGTTATCTGCTTCTCAGATGCTACGAGCACATTCATATCATCTGAAGGAAATGGTGGGTCAGTAGCTGAATGAAAAGATAACGGAGAAGGCAGAGTGTCTGCTTTGGGGTCCTGTGTACTGGCACAAAAGCTGTCAGCTCTCTGTGTGCGCAACCTCTGCCACTTCTTAGAGACTTGCTGTGTCACTACTGAATCAGGCACAATAGCATTTGCTGAGGCAGGATCTTTAATATTTGCCTCAGAATACAGATTTTTATGTCCATTTGAGCTTTTCTCAACAATATCAGAAACGGCACCCTGTCTAAAAGCAGCAGTTAGGTTATTTGCTGGTGACTGTCCCATCCCAGTTTCACTGCTTTGTATTGAACTACTTTTTTTTTTAGAATAGGATTTGTCATTCAGTGTTTTAAAAGCCAAATTATCTTGAGGTCTCTTGAAGAGTGAAGGCTGCTGAAAACTTTCTTCAGAATCAGTGTTGTCATTCACCATGCTGTCAAACCAGGTTAGGCTGCTATCATGGCTGCTCTCATTGTGTTTACTCAAGTAATTTGTACCTCTGTTTTTACCAGCTGCCAGGCTAGCTGGAGGCTCCAGATGTGTATCAGCTTTACTTCTCCCCTCGACCAAAGAACGTCGCTGCTTGCAGTTATTCCCTTGTTGATTTGACAGTTCCATCTGGGGCATTTGCTCTGACTGCCCTAAGGAATCATCGCTTAAGGATCCATAAGTAGTATTTTTGCTTCTCTCTGCAGGCTGCAGCTGACATGGACTTTCCTTCTGTAATCTGTTGTAAAATGACAAAAAATATTTTTACAAGTAGGCAGGCTAACTTTTCATTTTTCTACCTTTTTCCGCTAAGCTACATATATAATATAAAAATAGAGAGGCTGAAAATGAATCCGTAGAATCACTATGTCCCATATACAACACTAACCTTAGTGCAGCAATGTCTGATCTCCTTTTGCTCCTGCAGCAGATTCCTGCATTAAGTAGAAGAATCTGGCCTTCTTATTCATGGTAAAGAGAACTTTTTCTCCACAAGGAGAACCACTTATGAAGTAAGGTATTATTTAGAATGAGTAAGGGTGGCTATAGTTATTAATACTAATATTATTATTCATATTTGATTCACTTGCAAATTATCTGTGTACTTTGCTCAAATAAAAAGTGAATTTTAGTATGAAAATGGAAGTGAATCCATTTGACAATGTAGTTTATATTTAGTATTATTTACTTAAGTCCTTTTCTCTGCAGGTGCATATTCTCATTCTGGATTATTCACATTGTGAGGTTACAATGTGACACACACAGTTAGATTTAGGCAAAAAGATTGTTTTAAAGAGTATTGCTTTTACTGATTATAGCTCTGCATCAAGCTATATCAACAAGTTCTAGAGGTTAACCAGAATTATAGTCTTTGGGTATGTCTAAACTACATGGCTCTGTCGATGGAGCCATGTAGATTTGTTGTTTTGGCAAAGGCAAATGAAGCCACGATTTAAATGATCGCGGCTGCATTTACATTTACATGGCTGATCAGCTGTTTGTCCGCTCAGCGCGCTAGTCTGGATGCTCCCCTGCCGACATCAAAACCCTTTGTCGGCAGCCCCGGTAAACCTCGTCCCACGAGGAATAACGGGGTTGCCGACAAAGGGCTTTGATGTCGGCAGGGGAGCGTCCAGACTAGCGCGCAAGCCGACAAACAGCTGATCAGCTGTTTGTTGGCTCAGCGCGGCAGCCGTGTAAATGTAAATGAAGCCGCGATCATTTAAATCGTGGCTTCATTTGCCTTTGCCTATGTGTCTAATCTACATGCCTCTGACGACAGAGGCATGTAGTCTAGACACAGCCTTTGATTTCAACTTCTTGAGAAATGGGTTTACAGAATCACAACTGCCTGTAACTCTTACGAGTGATACACCCGGCAGCAAAACTTCCCAGAACCATGATCTCATCAAGTCTCAAGCTAAGCAGGGTCAAACCTTAGGTGAGAGATGGGTAAGGAAAATGTAGATGCTGTGTGAAGAAGTGGTTGTTGGTGATTCAGAAAATAATTCACTTCCCTCAGAGTCCCTATGGAATCAATATGTTAAGAAGCTCTCTAATGCTGGATGAGTAGCTTTCTCTATGCTTTGTGAAACAAAATTCTCAACATTTGTGGTTATTGTTTTTGAAACAACAGTGGTGATCTGGCCAAGTATCAGTATGGTAAATTGTATTCTACCTACACTTTATTCCTTTTAAAAGGAGATACTAATCTTCTTTGCATCATGTCCTTAATCAGTATTTTTATGCACTAATAAACAACAGCCATATTCCATATCAGAAGAGACTGCGTTTCAGTGGTGAGTAAAATTATTCCTATGTACCATATATGGCACATATATCATTTGAAACAGAAGATGCTATATATATGAATATTAATTATTATGTGGTATCTCTAAGGTAGAAAGGATCGTTGGTTGCTTTTATTGCTCTTTACCTTATTTGGAATGTGACTTATTCTGTGTATTAAAGCAGAGCTTATAAATTTCCTTTGAAAATTTTTATTTTCACAGCTGCTTTTATGAATTTAATAATATTATTTTTTATCTTTTTTTAACAAAACCGGTATGTGTTTCTTATGGAATGTGCTTTCAGTTCAGGAAACAAACTTTTTTTTTAGATTATTAATGCCTCAACCTCAATATATTAGGAGTTTTCTATTATTAAGAACAGATAGACTCTCCAAAGAAAATACCAGTTAACTAAAGCTGCTGAACTGCCAGTGAGAATTGAAAACATTTTCAGTATCAAGAAAAATATACAGGCAGTCCCCGACTTACGTGGATCCGACTTATGTCGGATCCGCACTTACGAACGGGGGCTTTTCGCCCCCGGGGGCGAAAAGCCCCCGTTCGTAAGTGCGGCTCCGACGTAAGTCGGATCCGCGTAAGTCGGGGACTGCCTGTAGATTCAACTTAAGAACCCCAGGCGTCCCCAAGTCAGCTGCTGCTGAAACTGATCAGCAGCTGATTCCAGGCAGCCTGGGGCAGAGCAACTCTGCCTCGGGCTTCCTGTAGTCAGCGCTGGTCAGTTTCAGCAGCGGCTGACTTGGGGACGCTTGGGGTTCTTAAGTTGAATCTACAGGCAGTCCCCGACTTACGTGGATCCGACTTATGTCGGATCCGCACTTACGAACGGGGGCTTTTCGCCCCCGGGGGCGAAAAGCCCCCGTTCGTAAGTGCGGCTCCGACGTAAGTCGGATCCGCGTAAGTCGGGGACTGCCTGTAGATTCAACTTAAGAACCCCAGGCGTCCCCAAGTCAGCTGCTGCTGAAACTGATCAGCAGCTGATTCCAGGCAGCCTGGGGCAGAGCAACTCTGCCTCGGGCTTCCTGTAGTCAGCGCTGGTCAGTTTCAGCAGCGGCTGACTTGGGGACGCTTGGGGTTCTTAAGTTGAATCTACAGGCAGTCCCCGACTTACGTGGATCCGACTTATGTCGGATCCGCACTTACGAACGGGGGCTTTTCGCCCCCGGGGGCGAAAAGCCCCCGTTCGTAAGTGCGGCTCCGACGTAAGTCGGATCCGCGTAAGTCGGGGACTGCCTGTAGATTCAACTTAAGAACCCCAGGCGTCCCCAAGTCAGCTGCTGCTGAAACTGATCAGCAGCTGATTCCAGGCAGCCTGGGGCAGAGCAACTCTGCCTCGGGCTTCCTGTAGTCAGCGCTGGTCAGTTTCAGCAGCGGCTGACTTGGGGACGCTTGGGGTTCTTAAGTTGAATCTACAGGCAGTCCCCGACTTACGTGGATCCGACTTATGTCGGATCCGCACTTACGAACGGGGGCTTTTCGCCCCCGGGGGCGAAAAGCCCCCGTTCGTAAGTGCGGCTCCGACGTAAGTCGGATCCGCGTAAGTCGGGGACTGCCTGTAGATTCAACTTAAGAACCCCAGGCGTCCCCAAGTCAGCTGCTGCTGAAACTGATCAGCAGCTGATTCCAGGCAGCCTGGGGCAGAGCAACTCTGCCTCGGGCTTCCTGTAGTCAGCGCTGGTCAGTTTCAGCAGCGGCTGACTTGGGGACGCTTGGGGTTCTTAAGTTGAATCTACAGGCAGTCCCCGACTTACGTGGATCCGACTTATGTCGGATCCGCACTTACGAACGGGGGCTTTTCGCCCCCGGGGGCGAAAAGCCCCCGTTCGTAAGTGCGGCTCCGACGTAAGTCGGATCCGCGTAAGTCGGGGACTGCCTGTAGATTCAACTTAAGAACCCCAGGCGTCCCCAAGTCAGCTGCTGCTGAAACTGATCAGCAGCTGATTCCAGGCAGCCTGGGGCAGAGCAACTCTGCCTCGGGCTTCCTGTAGTCAGCGCTGGTCAGTTTCAGCAGCGGCTGACTTGGGGACGCTTGGGGTTCTTAAGTTGAATCTACAGGCAGTCCCCGACTTACGTGGATCCGACTTATGTCGGATCCGCACTTACGAACGGGGGCTTTTCGCCCCCGGGGGCGAAAAGCCCCCGTTCGTAAGTGCGGCTCCGACGTAAGTCGGATCCGCGTAAGTCGGGGACTGCCTGTAGATTCAACTTAAGAACCCCAGGCGTCCCCAAGTCAGCTGCTGCTGAAACTGATCAGCAGCTGATTCCAGGCAGCCTGGGGCAGAGCAACTCTGCCTCGGGCTTCCTGTAGTCAGCGCTGGTCAGTTTCAGCAGCTTAAGAACAAACCTACAGTCCCTATCTTGTACATAACCCGGGGACTGCCTGTATCGCCCACAAAAAACTTTGATCCAGACTTATTATCCATTATCATACAGAAAGGGATCACAAGCAGCCAAACAAAATAATCATTTAAAAAAATAAAGCAAGGCTTGCTATACTTTAAGAAACAGGAATCAAAAGGTTATATAAAAGTAATCATTCACCCACAAACAGCAACTGTCTGACTTTAATGGAATTAGATTAAATTTATCTGGACATAGGAGTGATATATTTTGAGAAATCATTAAAATGCTATTTAACTCTCCAGAAATTCAACAATCATAGAATGAAAAATCATCTTGTAATGATCTCACTATGCTATTTTAAAAATCCCCTGATTTTTCAACTGCACCAAAAGGCTCTTTCCTAAGTCAGATTTCATTTTTAGAATCTCTTAAGTACAGTTACTATTGTCAACAATCCTTTTACTCTATTGGGTTCTTTCATCAATCCTCATTATCACCTGTCAAGTCTTTGGAATTCTTTATGCAGAAGATTCTGCAGCTCCAGTCGCTCCAGGATGAGTTCACATTGCATTTGATACTGCTCTGTTGGGTTTTCTGGAAATGAGGTATGCAGTGCATTTATGCCTCCAAGAAGTGCACCTCCCTGTGCCACCAGAAGAATGGAAAAATTTTGGTTAGTCAGAATCAGATTTTAACATCAAAACCAATTTTCTCCACAACCCGCCACTGGCTATTTTAGCACTGGATGAGGCAAATACTTACCCATAACTTTAATCACACAAATAATTCCACAGAAGTGTACGACTCACATGGGTAAGGTTACTTGCATGCTCACGTCAGACCCTTTGATTGGTGGTTGTTATTATTTATTTATTTATTTATTATTATTACTACTTGGATTTACACACAAAAAAGGAGCATCTATCTGAAGACTTAAGGCACAGTTTATTCTTAGGGATTTCTAGTTTATAAAAATGGGTATTAGCAAAGAAGTACTCTGAATTTCTTATAAAATTCTAAATGAGTAACTTCTATAACTGAAGAGACTGTAACTTTTAAACTTAGGTTATGTCTACCCAGGGATAAAAAAAATGAGCAGTTGGTCCATGTCAGCTGGCTCTGGCTTGTGGGGCTCAGGCTATGGGTCTGAGGAATTGCTGTGTAGCTATTCAGTCTCATGCTGGAGTCCAAGCCCTGCAGCCCTATTTGGAGGGCCCCAGCGTTCCAGAATAAGCCTGAACATCTACACAGCAATTTCGGTGCTGTATTGTGGGCCTCATGAGCTGGAGGGCTTTTATACCTGTGTAAATATACCATTAAAGAAGGTGAAGAACCCTAGTCTGATGGTTAAAACACAGAAATTAGAAGGTCTGGGTGTTAGGGCTTGTCTGCATTTGGAAAATGGACCACCAAAGCTATTTCGAACAACAACTGCAGTATAATTTAGCTATCCCATAATAACTCCCCCATGTGGGGATATGACTACAGAAAAAAATGGACTTCATTTAGAATAATTATTCTGCTTGCTGAGTGCACAAGATGGACCTGCCCTAGGGATGAGTCAGAGTTGTGTAGTAAAGGAAGCTGTTTTTTGCAGTATCCCTCCCTCATTTGTTGCAGAAGTTGGAAGGTCTGTATGAGAAAGGCAATTGTTATGATTAAGATAGTTGAATGATGCCCTGGAGAATGAGTTTCTGTCCTTTTTTGTGCCAGTTCTTATGTGATACAAGGCAAGTAATTTAAACAAAACTTTTCACAGGTGACCACTAATTGTGTGTTCCTCATTTTACGGTTGTCCAACTAGAGAGTTTGGGATTTGATTTGTAGAAGTGCTGAGCACTCACAGCTGTACCTGAAGTCACCCGGAGTTGTGCTTTGAACATATAAAGGGCCAAATGCCAAGTACTTTAAAAACTAAGTTCTTAAGTATCTTTCAATTGGTCACCCAAAACCGTAGATAGTTTTTACCTCATTCCTTCTGTGTCTCAGCTCTTAATCTATAAAATGGGGATAATGCCACTCTCTCACCTCTCAAGAGTGTTGTAAAAATAAATTAATTAATGCCTATGAAACACACAGCCAGTGAAGTGATGAGTGCCAGGGGAAAACCTAGGAGGAAATTTAAAATGTTGTATTCAGAGCAGGGTTTGAATAGTGTGCAGTACATAAGGCTCAGAGCAGGGGTGGGCAATAATTTTTTATAGGCATTTTTTGGTAAGTAATCAAGGACTGCACTTTTCCGTGGCAGGGTACGGGGCCTGGGATAGAGGTTGGGTACAGAAGGGAGCTCAGGCTAGATGACTGGGGTACAGGAAAGGGTGTGGGATCTGAGAGGCAGTTTGGGTAAAAGAGGGAGTTCTGATCTGGGCAGAGGGCTAGGGTGCAGGGTCTGGGAGGGGATACTGGTGAAGGAGAGGATCTTGACCAGTGGGAGGGTGTAGGAGGGGATGCAGAGGGATTGGGTGGTGACCTGGGGCAGGAGATTGGGCTGTATAGGGGGTGTAGGATTGGAGAGGGGCTACTCCTGGCCACCAAAGAAAACTGATTTTCAAATGTTAAAAAAGGGTCCAGGAGGACTCCCAAGCTGCGTAGCTGTTCTTTCAGGGGAAGAGTAACCCTGTCTAGAACAGGTGCCATGCCACATTCCCGAACAGATGGCCTCCTGATCCACAGGACCTCAGTCTTATCTGGGTTCAACTTCAGCTTATTTGACTTCATCCAAACCATCACTGCCTCCAGACACCAATTTAGATCAGTCACTGCCACACCTGGTTCTAATCTATGGTAAGCACCACACAGAGCCTGCACCACTTCCTGTCCCCTCCCCCTGACCTGAACCGCCTCCTGCATCCAAATTCCCCCGTGGAGCTCCCACTCTGTACCCCTTCTCCATCCCTGTCACCTGCCTGGAGCCCCCTCCTATACCCTGAACCCTTCATTTCCAGTCCCACCCTAGAGCCTGCACCTGCAGCCCTGAGCCTGCATAAGCCCCCCATTCTCCACCCCTGCCTCAGCCCAGAGCCCTCTCCCGCACTCCAAACCACTCAGTCCAGCCCCTGCTAAGAGCCCCCTCCTACACCACAAGACCCTCATTCCTGGCCCCACTCCAGAGCCTGCACTCTCTGCCCCAGCCCAGAGCCCCCTCCCAGACCACAAGTCATGCCTCAGCCAGGATCCCCCTCCCACACCTCCAAACCCCTCAGCCCCAGTCTGGAGCCTGCTCCTACACACCAAACCCCTCGTCTCTAGTATGGTTCAGAGGCTTTCAAACTACAGGTCACGACCCAGTACTGGGTTGTGGAATGTCAGGCACTGGATCTCATTGCTGCAGGGTGATCAGATGACCAGTGGGGGGTGCTAAGGCAGGATACCTGCCCGTCCTGGCTCTGCAGACTGCGCTGCATCCCAGAAGCAGCCAGCAGCAGGCCCTGTTCCCACACTGGGGAGAGGGGAAGAGTGCAGAGTGCTCCATGCCCCTGCCCCAAACACTAAATCTGAACTCTCCTTGGCTGGGAACCTGCTGCTGGCTGCTTCTGGGGCGCAGGATGGTCTGCGGTGCCAGGAGAGGCAGGAAGCCTGCCTCATCACTCTTGCTGCACTGCTGACCAGAAGCTGCTCAAGGTAAGCCCCTCCTGCCCCAGCCCTGACCCTGCCACCGAAGACAGAGCTTCCTTCTGCACCTCAAAGCTCTCATCCTCAGCCCCACTCCAGTGAAATGATGTTGGGTTGTGGGCATCTACAATTTTTTTCAACTGGGTCATGAGAAAAAAGTTTGAAAACCACTAGTCTAGATAATTCTTAATGCTGCTATGAGTGTAAATTATTGGACTAAACCTCTCGAGGTCCCTGCCCATCCTATGATTCTATGCAAATGCTTTGAGTTACTTCTGGTGGAAAGGTGCTACATAAAATGCATTAGCATTTGCATATATAGTTTCTCATACTCATGATATACCAATCTGTACAAGAAAATGGGAAATGTCATATTAGATCACACTAGTGGTGCCCAAGGCAGTCTCATGGAGTCAGTACTACATACTTCAGATGAAGCTGCTAAAAACCCCATGGACATTTTAGGGACAAACTGCTCATGTTTCTTCCTAGTGGTTGTATTATGCCTTTAAACCTAAAGATTCTTATCCCTTTAACAAATATCCTATCTAGTATAATACTGGATAGTCTAATTGTCCAACTTAATTTCTATTTTTAAAATAGCTACAAAGCTCTTGGCCTGTGTCATATCATTTGACAATAAGTTCTGGAGGCTAGTTATATATTGTGTTAAAATATTTCCATTAACTGGTTTTTAGTCTGTTACCTTTCATTTTAATTGAATGTCCCCTTGGTTTTCTATGATGAGAAATTGATAAATAGGAATGCCCAGTTATGTTCTCTATCCTATTCGTTATTTTGCATAATTTTATCATGTTCTCTTTTTATTCATCTCCTAGGCAAACTAAACACTATGAACCATCACACACTTCTGAAATAGAAAAGAATTTTGAGACCTAGCAAGAGGCTCCACATCATCTCTTCCTTGCTTGAAAATCAATGTTTCTTTGAGGAGATGGGTGGTAAGAAGTGATGAAGATGTATTCAGCAGAACAGATTGCCCCATGGTTCAGTGCTATCACCTTTGCTGTTTTGTGTCTACACAAATGACCAAACGGAATCTCCTTGTGTGCAAATATTCATTTATGCACATAATCCTTGAATTGCCACTCAACTGGAAAGATTTGTGGATACTCAGTGCATTTTAACAGGCTCCCTGAATGTACTTGGAAAGTACTATTGCACATAGTTCCTAAATGCCAACTCTAGCAAGACACAAGTGTGTGCCTTCCACCTGCAATACAATCAGGACAAATGAATTTTCCAGATAATGTGGGATGGTATAATCCTTGAGACTTATGAACATCTGGTGTATGTTGGGTCACAAAAGACTGAATGCTGACATTCAAAGAACATGTAAAGAAGCTGAAAAAAAAGTATACTCCTGGAGTTGTGCACTCCAAAAACTGGCCAACACAAAATAGGTAGGTGAGACCCCAAAACACTCCAAGCAATCAGCCTCGGTCTGTCATTCAACTGAGGAATACTGTTAATCAGAATGGTTTTCTTGAGCCATGCACACAAAATTTGTATTGAACTCAATCAATCTTGTAGGGTCATCACAGGGATTTTGAAACCAACTCCTGTGCTGTTACTATACTTCCTCATATGAATTGCACTACTCTGTGTAAGGTGGGGTGTCTTCAGTAAAAAGGAGAAATCAAAACAGATGAATGAGCTAAGATGTCTACTGTTTGGATACTTTCCACCACACAATAGAACAACAGAATAGAACAAACAAAAGTTCAAAAGGTGTGTTGCCTCTGAAAATCCCTTACAACAAACAAAGAAACCATGGAAGGCTACAGAGTAACAAAATGGCAGGAAATGCCAATTCTCTGGGAGAACCTGGTTCCTTAGAACAACTCTTCCCAGGGATTGACTTCAAACAAAAACGATGAGGTACTCCAAATTGATCGAGAGATTGGGTGGCAAAGATGTGACAGTAGGACCAAATGGAAGTTGAGGCAAGCCCCAAATATGAACACAGAGAGCCTAAGCACATACTTAAAATACTGCCTGATGCATTACCCCATTCTCCCAAGGAACTATTCAAGAAAAGCATCATAGTTACAATTTTGCAGCAACAAACTATGGATGACGGCTATATATTCTGGGCCTGATTCTCATTTACATCAAGTCTCTCTACACTACTCTGGCACCTGTTAATCTTTCTAAAACTATTCCAATTTTTTGTCTGGCTCTAACATATAATAGCCAATGTCTAACTGAAAAATACAAGTGTCATTAATCAATTCATCTACTATAACCCAGTTTCTCAACTCAGTTATATTTCAGTGTCTGACTATTAAAATGGATTGTTTTCCAGGGACATAGATTCAGGTGTAATACATAATAGTCTCCTTAAATAGATTGAAACATATAGCATAGGATTGTAGGAGTATTACTTTTTATAAGAAAGCTTACCTGCATAGAAGATTCCATCACTGAGACCACTGTTATAGCATCTTCCAAAGTGACAGTGTCTCTAAACATTAATCGAGCATGGGCTAGCAAAAATAAATGAGTGTTAAAAACAAATGTTATTAAAGTTAAAAAGTATTTGTTTGTATTACAAGCAGAGGCCAACAATTTAGGTCTGATTCAGCAAATACTTATGCATGTGCTTAACTTGAGACATAAAAACAGTCCCATTGACTTCGCTGTAATAAACATCTACAGAATTGGGAAAACTTAACTTCTCTAATTAGAAATGAGGTGTGTCTTCTGGATTAGAGACACAATGACAGTTTGAAGGAATTGGAAGAAAGAAATGCAGAAGGCTACATTAAAACAACTGTTCAAATACTATGATGATGATAAACGTGATATAAAATAATATTTATCTATCCAGATGCATTAATAGCAACACAAACTAACAAATAGAAGGAAATTCAAAATTAAAGATAATCTTTCATTCTGGGTGAGAAAAGGCATGATTTAAAGAATTGCCCACACTTTGCATTTCCTTTCTTTTGTTAGTCCGTACCACAATCTTAATGTTATTTAAACATATTTTCCCATGTTTTTTCCCCTGCTAAAACCACCATTACCCAAAATAGAATTAATTTTATGAATGGATATAATACAGATAATTCACCATATTATGCTATTCTGGTTGGTTGTGTAATTATGGTGTTGGGCATTTTTTTATGCAAGAAAAATAGTACTTTTGTATTATATTTAGAAAATATAAAGTGTTAGTTAATGCCCCAGTCATGTGAATGCGTACTTATGTAAAAAAGTGACTAGTGTAAAAGTATCTGCAAGATGAAGGCTTTATATATTAGGAAAGTTTACAAAACCAAACCAACTCTCTTCCCCAACATCCACACACAACTATAAATTCAAATAGGAACAAATCTTACTATATATTTTAGAAATGTCTGTTTGTCTGTCTCGGAGTCCATTTGTTTCTAATCAGTAAGAGCTAGGACCACCAAATGTGGTATGCACTTTCCTTTTATCATAACTTAAAACAAGGTAAAGTTGTGTCAAGACAATGGAATGTGCCTGGAATTTGATTGTTTCTCATAAATGGAAAAGGAGAGATCTGGTAGGAGGGAGTTATACTGTGGAATGACCACGGGGGGAAAGGAGGGGGGAAGCAAGGGGCCAGAGATGGGGACTGGGACAGCTATAATCCCACTGAGCTGGTGAGGGTTGAAAAAGGGACAGATATTCTACTATGTATTTCAGAAAGTTTGTCTGTGTGTGTGTCTGTCCCCCCGGCCAGTGGACATGCACCTCTTCCCCAGTTGTGCCCGCTGGAGCTGTAGCAGCCATGGACAGGTGCTTCTGACCTGGCCTCAAGCTGCTGTGGTAAGAGAGGACTGGAGTTGTCCTCTCTCCCAAGACAGCCTATATACTGAACTCCTCCTCTCTAGCCCCACCCCAGAGCAATAATGTAAATGAAGAAAAACAAAACTTATTTGTGTTAAGGACTCGAGCAATACCAGCTCACCTTCTGCTAAACGAATCAAACTTTCTAATAAGCGAATGGTAGTTCTGGCAGCATTTCTGCAGTCACTCTGCCGTTGCATCTGGTAATAACGGACAAGAATCAGGTTGCTCTCATCAGACAATTTTGGCTGTAGGTTCTTTATAAGAGAAAAGTAGGTTTTCATCTTTTCCATGCTCCAAAGGTTTTCTGATTTGCTTGGACACCCTGCATAACAAGTGCACAGTCAGTAAGTTCAAAACAATGACACAGATAAAACACTTTCCAAAAGATTCCTGTTAAATAGGTGAATGAATATAAAATGGGAGTTTTACAACATTTTATTACATTTTGGGCTCATCTATGCATTGGCCGCTCTCCAGAGGGGTTATTACATTTTACCTGTTGAGATTCCCCTAAGACCCTTTCTACTCAGCTTATCCACAAAACCTTGTCCAATTCTGGGAGGATACCAAGAATTCTCTGGGATCCAAAACCTTAGTTTGATTCCAGTGTCTCTCAGGTTCCAATTCCTAGCTTCTAATATCAATATCAATTGAATTGATTTGGACATCATACAGTTCATGTAAAACCCAACTGCTTTGCAGATTGTGCAAGGACCAGTTGCTGATGTTCTCACTTTAACTACATTTCAAGAGTATCAGTCCAAGGTATTCTCACTTATCTACCCAAAAGCACCACCTCACATCCTCACAGCCCTGTCACATCCTCATTTATAGTTTTACCTTGCACTTAGATCAAACTACATGCAAGCTTACTCATGTCCACCATGATCTATGCTTATACTACATATCTAATTTCCCCATTGTTTAAACTGTGTATGATGTTCTTCTGTATTTCTTGTCCTGAACTGTTTTGTAACATTGCTATTTCACCCTAAGTTCTAACATCCTATCCCGCACCTAGTAAAGTCGACAGCAAAGCTCCCATCAGTTTAAATGGGAGCAAGATCAGACTCTGTGTGTGTCAACTTGTTCAGTTTGTAAACACCCTGGCATTCTTTGAGATGAAAGGTGCCACATAAATATATGGTTATCTCCTCTAGCTATTTTTCATATTTCATAGGGCCAATCACTACGTGCCAGATTTGAGACAGTCTTTGTACAGCCGTGCAAGGGAGGGGAGGGGGCAAGAAGTTTTAACCTCATGTTTTTTTTATTATAATGTTTACTGTAGCACCTCAGAACTCCAGTCATAGACCAGGATCTCCCCATGCAAGGCGCTGTACAAACCCAGAACAAAAAGACAGTCTTTGCCTCAAAGTGCTTACAATCTAAGTATGAGACAAGAGACACAGCCTATGGGTACAGATGTATGGCAGAGTACAAGGAAACAATATTGTCAAAACAGATAAAAGAAGGTAGAGGAAGAGGAGCAACATACAAGCTGAGTGAACAGTATCAGGGCAGCAAATGTAATGTAAGTTCCGCTTTCACTTTATAGAATACTATGGGGCTGCACCCCCTGATCGCTATGCTTGCCAACCCCCCTCTGTCTGCCACAGCCAGATTGTGGCCTCCCCTCTTACCCATACCACGGCTGGAAGGGGGCTAGGCCCCAACTGGGGTCTTGTTAGCCACGCTTCATTTTAAATAAAGTAAAATATTATGTCCAACAAAAAAGGTTTCAAGATTGCCTTTATTAATGGCAGGGATGGGGAACTTTTTTTGGGTGAACGGCCACTGATCCACCGAAAAAAATCAGTCGAGGACCACACAAGTGAGAAGGAAAAAACTGTCCCTCCTTAACCCCCCAACCTTCACCCCCTGGTGCTCCAGCCCCATGGTGAGGGGAGAGGCAGGGAGGACTGAGCTTCGAGGCCTCTGGCCAGATTAACTCTTCTGGGCTGGGGCTAAAAATGAGGGGTTCAGTGTGCAGGTTAGAGGTGCCAGTGAGTGGGATAGGGATGGGGGAGCAGGATCTGGGCAGTAGGTGAGGTGCAGAAGGGGTGAGGGTGCGAGGTCTGGGTGGGAGGTAGGGAGCAGGAGCAGGCTGGGAGTAGACTGTCTGGCCAATGGGAGGGGGAAGGAGCAAGGGATGGTGCAGAATCTGGCTAGGAGGGATGGTGCAGGAGAAGGCTATTGGTGGGATGTCTGGCGGGAGGGAGGTGCAGGAGCAAGGGAGGGGATTAGGTGTCTGGCCAGGGTGTGTGTGTGCAGGAGTGAGGAAGGGTACAAGAGTTCACCAACCCTCATCCCCCTGGCCGCCACACATGCCAACCCCCCCTCTGGCTGCTCTGCACGCCAACCCGGCACCACAGTCTGGTATACTTGCCAATTCCCCCCCCCCCACTGGTATGCTTGCCAACCCCCACCTCTGGCTGCTCTGGTCACCCCCCCACACTCTGGCCACTACAGCCTATCACCAGCCTGCTCCCCTTGGCCCCAGAACCTACCACCAGCCTGCTCCTGCACACTCACTCCTGGCCAGATTGCATCCTCAGCCCCTCCTGCTCATGAACCCCATCCCTATCCCACTCACTGGCAGAGATGGGAGGAGGATGCGCGGCGAAGAGGGAATGGCGGACGCCATGCAGCTCCCACCTCCCCGCAGCACCAGAGAGGTAGGAGGCCACGTGACTGGGAATGGAGGCAGAGGTGGGTGGCGGGACACAAATGATGTGATGATGTCACTCTGTTGTCCCATAGAATATTTTTTATAGAGAGAGAGAGATGTTACAGTGAAAGCTTTGTTATCCAGCACACATGGGGAATGGAGGCTGCCGGCAAATTGAATGTGCTGGTGTCATAATCAGGAGTGCTGACCTGCACCCAGTGGCTAACGAGTTAACTCAAGTACCTAGCAAAGGTGTCAATTGGGGGGGGGTTCGGGCAGTCTGCTAATAACAATGCCGTTAGGAATTTCAAACTGGAAGAGAGGGGTTTTTCTCTCTCTCTCTCTTCTTTGTCTGAGATTCAGAGCAGTTTCTCACAGTTATTGAGGGAGATGGGAGACACTTCTCTCTCCCAGAACGGACTTCTTAAAATGTGTAAGTAGGGAAAAGTTTAGATAGTCCATCAGGGTTTATTGTTTTCCTTGTTTGGGGGTTTGGAAATAATGTCTGAGCTTGCTAATTGGTTTTTTTTCTTTTGTAACTAAGTCTTTCAGCCCAGGCGTTTTCCCTGAGTATCTATATCAAATGATGGCTCTTTCCATCTAGCCAATTTACTATGCTTGTAACTATAGTTTTGTTTTGATAATAAAAGATTGTTTCTTTTTTCTAATTAACCAGTATTGGTTGATTTTTGTATCCTGGAAGGTCTGTCTGTGTGTATCTGAATGCCTCTGACTGAGGGAGCAGCTACCAGAGACTGCAGCTTGTTTTTCTCTTTTCTTTTTCAAGCTCTTTTGGGGAAAAAGAGCTTTGGGTATCCCTGGGGTTGGTTTTAAGTGTCCACCCCTCTTTGTTTGTTTTATTTTGGAGTTCAAAAGCACTTGATGGTGGCAGCGGGTCCCCCAAAATCTGGGTATTAGGATTTTGTGGGGGGAGTTTTTGTACCAGAGCCTATAGAGGCAAGGTTTTGGAGTGCTCTTGAGGGCTCCCAACTTCTGCATTCATTGTGCCAGAGTGGGAAACAGCCTCAACAGCTGGATAACAAAGCTTATCACTCTGCCTCCTGCTCCCTACCAGCAAATCTGGCTCACAGCGGCTTGAGTCAGGCTGAGGGGGAAGGAAGCGCCTGCTGATGATGTCACCTGGAAGTGCCAACTGTCAGAAGCCCCACAATGGTTGGCTGGACAGGTGGGAGTCGGGTACATTCTCCCAAAGACACAAATGTGGCTAGGGGCAATGCCAGTTAACAAAGTGTTCTGATAACAAAGCTTTCGCTGTACCTAGCAAGGGATCAGCTAAATGGAAAGGGGACAGAGAGTGAGAGACAAAGCAGAAGAGGAGAGAGTAGAAATGGAAGGCGTGGAGTGAAGCTGATTGAAAGTGTTCATCATCTGACAGGTGTTTAGTAAGTGACAGGGATTGGTGGTCTACTGGACAGGAAACCACATCACAATCACCACAATGTTCACTGGACACAAAAGTCTCAACAAAAATCATGGATAAAATGAAAATAAACCGAACTACCTTTTAGTCATGCAACTGGTCTCTAAAACTGGGCTGCAGAACATTTGGGAAAGATCAGTGCAGAGAAGAAGTTCTATATACATACAAAGAGTCTATTCTTACCTTTGTTTTCCAATATGAAAGAAGAAATTATGCGATCCCAGTCTTCATTTCTCGTATCTAGCAATACTAAGATTAGGTCAAATCTGCTCAGTAAAGGACTGCCAAGGGCTATGTTCACGGAGACTGATTCATTAGGGTCATACTGGCCTTTTGGATTTGTTGCTGCCAATATAGTAGTTCTTGCATTCAGCTTGCACACTAAGCTACAGACAAAGATGATGTACACCAATATTTTGTGTTATTGGATATAGGAAATAATTTTTATTTTACTCAGAAATTATCATATTTTATGTTTACATAGCAACATTCACAGAAATCAGAGAATCATTGATTTGACATGATTTGTTCTTGACAAATCCATGATGACTGTAACATATCACATTATCTTCTAGGTGTCTGCAAATTATTTGCGTAATTATTTGTTCTATTATCTTTCTGGGTACCAAAGTTAAGACGCCTGTTCTGTAATTTCCTGTCTGTCTGTTGTCCCTAGTCCCCTTGTTACATATGGGCACTATATTTGCCCTTTTCCGGTCCTCTAGAATCTCACCCATCTTCCATGACTTTTCAAAAATAATCGCTAGTGCTTCAGATATCACAATTCAGAGTTAAAAGAAAAAATATGTTTTTCTTTTTCTTTATTTTTTCTATAATGATACTCCAATGGCTAAACATTTTACATTTTTTTTTTATAGCGGAACAGATATTTTCTTTTTGAATCACTTTGTCTTGGTGCCTGTATTTAGTTACAGTAGGACACTTTTTGTCTCTGTAGTCACAACACAAACCTCTCAAAGAGGCAATAGAAGAGTTATTTTAAATTTGGTTTAGCACTGGGGTATTTCCAGTTGGCTCCAGGGTAGCTGCTACTTCATGTCCAGAACATGAATGGAAATAGAGCCAATAATATTAGCTTTTTACAGTACATACTATAAGAAAAGAGCATTGGCTCCCAACTGATACAAAGATAAATTAAATGAACAATGCAACATTAACTTGTTTATGACATGTTACAATTATTTAAAAATTTCTAAGTAAATACAGTCCTTTTAAGAGCAAGTGACCGAGGTTTTGTGTGCTGGGAACAAACCAGCATTCTACAGAATCACAGAACTGGAAAGGACTTCTAGAAGTCATCAAGTCCAGGCCCATGCATGCATGGCAGGATCAAGCACCATCTAGATCATCCCTGACAGGTATTTCTCTAACCTGCTCTCAAAAATCTCCTCTGATGAAGATTCTATGACCTCTCTAGTCAATTTATTCCAGTGCTTAACCACCCCGAGGCAGTTTTTCCTAATGTCCAACCTAAATCTCCATTGCTGCAATTTAAACCCATTGCTTTATGTCCTGTCATCAGAGATCTAGAAGATAATTCCTCACCTTCCTTGTAGCAATCTTTTAGATATTTGAAAACTGTTATACTGTCTCCTCTCAGTCTTCTCTTTTCCAAATTAAACAAACCTAATTCTTTCAATCTTCCCTCATAAGTCCTCATAAGTTATGTTTTTTAAAAATCTTTAATAATTTTTGTTGCTCTTCTCTGGAGTTCCCCAATTTGTCCCCAACTTTCTTGAAATGTGGTGCCCAGGACTATATTCCCATTGATAACATAAAATCAATGGTCTCAGAGGATCCAGTTAAAACATGGCTCTGTTTTACAGCACTGATTGAATGAAACCATACCAAGTCTAAGACATTAGTATGATTGAAGTATATGGAAGTTCCCATTCATATGGCTGGAACAGGTCCTCAGGACAAGAGGCACACAGCCTTGAACATTTTTTTGTAAGCAACATCCTCATGAGTGGATACACGTCATTTTGGGAATATTGTATGGTCCTGCTTCCTTAAAATTGCTCAAACAAAAACAGTATAAAAAGATAAATATGAGAAAAAAGTTGAAAATGGTTTCAATGTTAGGTCATTGGATTAAAAGCAAACAACTGAGGCTTTGCGTGCTGGGAGCAAACTTGTGTAGAATCACAGAACTGGAAAGGACTTTTAGAAGTCATCATGGTCAGTCCCCTGCATGCACTGCAGTATCAGCATGCACTGATTAGGCCTCAGTTGGAGTATTGTGTCCAGTTCTGGGTACCATATTTCAAGAAAGATGTGGAGAAATTGGAGAAGGTCCAGAGAAGAGAAACAAAAACGGTTAAAGATCTAGAAAACATGACCTATAAGGGAAGACTGAAAGAACTGGGCTTGTTTAGTTTAGAAAAGAGAAGACTGAGAGGGGACATGATAGCAGTTTTCAAGTACCTAAAAGAGTATTACAAGGAGGAGGGAGAAAAATTGTTCTCCTTGACCTCTGATGGTGGGACAAGAAGCAATGGGCTTAAACTACAGCCTGGGAGGTTCAGATTGGACATTAGGAAAAACTTCCTAATTGTCAGGGTGGTTAAACACTGTGTCTTCGGGGCAGGTGGACCCGACCCTCCCCCCATGCATTACCTCTCCCCTCAGCTGCCCATGCTGCTGCCCAGCCCTGCAGCTGCAGCCTGGGCACCACTCACCCTCTAGTGGGGGCCCAGCAGCAGCAGTGCTGGTGTCTGGACATAACTTCAGTGCAATGTTTAGCTCACCTGCTGGGGGCATTGCGAGGCAGAAAGGGAGGCGAGTGGAGCACGGAGTGCTGAGGCTGCAGGATTGGGGCAGCACAACTTGGCGGAGAGTGGCGGGCTGGAGGGAGCAGGGACAGGACTCCCAGGCAAAGGTGGCAGAAGGGCTGGAAGGCAGCTGAGGGGAGGAAGCAGGAAAACAATGCCCCAGAGTGATCCCCCTCCTCCCTGTGGCTGCTGCCCCCCAGGCTGGCTCTAGCCTGCCGCCGCAGCCAGCTCAGGGGCGCCCCACTCCCCCACGTGGCCTGGCCACCCCTGGAGCAGCCCTGCCCCCCAGAGCAGCCCTGCTCCATCACGTGGCCCCGCCGCCCCCAAAGCAGCTCTCACCCCCGAAGTAGCCACCTACCACAGCCCTTCCAGCTGGGCTGTGTGTCTGCCACAGGGCAGGAACTGGGGCCGTGGTGCAGCTACGACAGCAGGGACAGCCTCAACGCGGCAGCTCCTGGAGCAGCCCCATTCCACCATGCGATGCCTCCTGCTGGGCTGTGTAGCTACTGTGGAACAGGAATCAGGACTGTGGTGAGACTGCTCCAGCAGGGCCAGCCTCACTGAGACGTGGCTCCAGTTGCGGCACATGGAGAAGCCACCCATCACCGAGCCCCGCTGGCTGGGCCTTGTGCCACTCAAAATTGGCTTGTGTGCCATACATTGCTGACCCCTGATCTAGATGGTGCCTGGACCTGCCATGAGGGCAGGGGACTGAACTCGAAGACCTCTCAAGGTCCCTTCCCGTTCTAGTGTTCTATGATTCTATGATTCAGTTAAATACCATTCTGAAGAGTACAATTGTTTAGGCTGACTGTGTTCTGCTTCCCCTCCAAAAAAGCAACATTGGTGAGCCAGGTTCTCTCTTCACTCCAGACCACGCCCAATTTGGCACAAGGTGCTGATGCAGAGGGAACCCCAGCCCACCTTAAGTCTTAGGCATTGGTGACCTCCACTAGCCTGCTCAAAGAGGAGCAGCCAGGATACCTTGTTGGAGTTGCCCATATTGAATTAAATATGGAAATGAGATGCTCTGTACCAAGGGGTTATGTATTTTGAAAATGAATTTCACTCTATTCTACTCCACTATGAAGTTTAATGTTCATTATGCTACAGATTTTTGTACTGACAACAAATATACAGCTACCTATGAGAAGTTGTCAGAGACACGGCAAAGGAGCCCAGAAACCACAGAAAAAAGATCGGGACTGTGTGATAAGGTTGTTAGCTATAGGTTTATGCAGTTAAATGGTTAACAGCATTGAAATTAAGTTCATTGGGTTTCAGAGGGCTACTTTAAGTGAATGGAGGCAGTTTGTTCCTGATTTGAAGCTTTTTTGGGGAGGGGTAGCTTATTATAATAATCTGTGACCCACTAGCCCCCTTTTTGACCCGATGGCCATTTCACCTTTGTTGGGTACTTAGAATATATGCTAATTACCTACGCTAAGCTATCTCTTTGATCCTGTATTTAGCTACAACTCTCAGTACCTTTCCCAGAGATGAACAAGAGCTCTGTATAGCTCAAAAGTTGTCTCTCCCACCAATAAAAGATGCTGCCTCACCCATCTTATCTCTCAGATATTTTTCAGTCTGTTTCCAGGCTTAGACAGAAATCATTAATTTTACCCTTGACTCACATTTGGAAGTCAACAGTCTGGGCTAGAAACACAAGAATCTATTCTCCACTATATTTATTATATTAGCTGTGGGCAGTTGTGTCTGTATAAGATTAATGTAAAGTGAGACTTGACCCAAGAGAATTGTGCCCACACAACACTTCGGAGGTTATTTCTCCTATATACACAGTAGGTAGTTGCGGTTATGCTGAAAAGAACTCTGAACTGAGCTGTAAGCTCCAACCTGGACACAGGTTAAATCAAAAGAGAGGTGGTCATCAGAAATCCACCACCAGGAATAAACTTGACAGGGGCGCAAAGGAGTCTCCCTTGAAATTTTAAAACAAAACTGTATAGTATAGTAAAGAAATATGTAAATTGGTCGGGGGAAACCTACATCTAACATTTATTTTTATATTTCAGAATTGAGAGAAAAGACATTTTGTTATTTCATCACATGCATTTAAATGTCACTTACCCTGCCTTAGCTACACTGATGGTTTGTTGCTCCATTGCTTCATGTATGCTGGTTCTGTCATGTTCCTTGATGCTATTAAACTCATCAATACAACAAAGACCTCCATCTGCAAGCACGAGTGCACCAGCTTCCAAATTCCATTCTCCAGAATCCTTTACTGCAGTTACCGTCAAACCTGAAGAATGTTCATTCCAATTTAATATTTTTTTAAAGTATGTGTACATTTGAAAGAAAGGGAGGGATGAAATAAACTAGCTAGTGCCAGGAAGAGGGAGAGAAAGCACCCCATTTAGAAGTTAAAATTTTGACAGGGGAATAAGGGGACGGTGCACCTCCCAAGATATGGTGTTAAAAGCTTCACCAAAGAGTTCTGCTAATGTACCTCAATTCAGACCTGCTGGTACAACATCCCCTCTATAACAATCCAGGTAATGGCAGGAAAATCTGCCAAGCATGCCACATTTTAAGGTGATGGTTTTACGATATGAACAAATTTACAAAAGGAAGTAGGATGAGAGAGGACTAAATCTGTCATATCAAATTAATTTCTGGTGCAAATTCAATGCTATTAGCAAAGTTATGCCAGGAACACATCTGACCCACTATCAACACTTAAGGCATCAAAAAAAAAAAAAAAGACCATTCAACAAATGCTGCAAAATAAAGCATTTTAACATATCTTTCCACAGAGACCAACTCCTCAGTTCGTGAAGCAGAAGTGATTGTTGTTTCCACGAACCTGTGAACTGGGTCTGACAAAGTTTCTCTTTGTTTATTGGATTCATTTGAATGTCCAATTTAAGTGAAACATGAGAGCAGGACTCCATGGGTATTGAAACCAAAGAAAAAGTTCCACACAGCATCTGCAAATGGACGCAGCTGATTGTGACGCGCTGTAATTAAGCCTCACAGCACTGAGACCCTGAAGAGTTTGAATTTCTGCCTGATCCATTTCTTGTTTACATATCAAGACTATTCAATTTTCACTTTCTCCAGCAAGTCAGTTCTTTTCTCTAATAACACTTAGTTCTGAAGAGGAGTTAACAACTTCAGGATAATGCTATCAGTAGGTATTTATGTAATATGAGGGGATTTGAGATTGCAACTACAACTACTAGGGTGGCCATCCATCCTTAAACATCTGCAACTCCCCTTCTCCCCTCTTCTCTCCTAATCTCTCTTTTTATCTTCTGCCAAGTTCCTCCCTTTCCTTCTCCCAAGCTCTTTCCCCCCACACTCCATTACTGCTTGAATCACACTTGGTCCTATGCCCCACACTCCATAGCTCCTAAAGATGTTATGGAATGCTAGGGCCACATCCAATCCAAAGATCATCTTGCTAGAACGGCAATGGGTTCAAAGATCTTAATGGAGCCCAGGAACCACCAACCCTTTGGCTGGTGCAGTTTTTGTCAGTGCAGTTCCATACTTCCAATAGGCAGTGAAGAATTAATAAGCATAGAATTGTTTTACTGACACACTACATGTTTTTTAGGGAGATTTGCCATGATGAATCTTCCTCATTTTGTCTCATCCTCCCTGATCTCTTGGACTTTGCTTCACTCTACTAAGCACAGTACAATGTAGACAATATGTCATCTGGCTGTTTAAATAGCAGTTATAAAAACTGAAGTAAATTCCAGCACTGTGAGAAGCATATAAAACAGTCGAGATCATATTCAGGACAGTATAATTTCTTTGTAAATACAGACCAAGATTGTCCCCTGCTCTGGAAGAACATACAAGAGGGAGCCTCTGAGAGGAAACCTCACTGCAACCCTCAGGGATCTGCTGAAGACACAGAATCTCTGCGTCCATCACTTCTATCCAGATCTCTACAGGCTCCTTGTCAGCATTGCTCAGACTTTCCATGCAGGCAGTATCCTCTGAAATACTGCCTTAGATAAGACACTCCATTACACTCAAGGGCTCAATTCAGAAATTAATACAAACTGAACCTGTATTTATTTGTGAGTAGATTTCCCAGGGAGTTGTGAGTGACATTCCACGCAGTCTCTCATCTTGGCTCCTTCTCAGCCACAGATCCTTGACCCTGCCAGTTACTCTCTCCAGAGGCTAGAGGGAAGGGGCCTGGTGCCACTTATCTGAGTCATTCACCCATCTTCCATGAGCAAAGAGTGAGATCTTCATGAAGAGGCCCCTTCCATGTGGACCTTGAGGACTGTTCCAGCTCATTGTACCTCATTATCTAGCATCTCTTCAAACATAACAAATTGGATCCCACAGCCATTTCTTGCCTACTCACTAGTCAAGTGAAGAGAGCCATTGACATCAAAAACTTTAATTGTATGAGTCCTGGTCTACAGAAGGAATTTACTTTGGTATAGCTGTCTCTCAAGGATGTCAAAAATCCACCACCCCTCAAAGACATTCCTATACTGACCTCCTGAACTCCTGGTGTAGACCTGTGCTACATTGACAGAACAATTCTTGGGGAGGTGGATTACTTGCACCGATGGGAGAAGCTCTGTCGTCCATGTAGTTAGAAGTGATGTGAATGTATAATCACCTGGGCTCATCCACTAACCTTCACAGTTACATGCAGGCTCCTGGTATGTGTGGGGAGCTGGCTTAAAAACTGCTCCCCATGCGCACTGGCTCTCAAGGAGCTGACTAGTCCTCTTGCCCCCCATGCTGCTGCCTCTGTTTCAGAGGCAGCAGCATGGGCGGGGGGAAGGTGGGAGCCAACTGCCCCCCACCACTACTGAAATTTTTAGTGGTTAAACAGTTAATTAAATGCAGTTTAGCATCCCTAGTAGTTAGTGTCTACACTGAAGCACTACAATGGTGCAGCTGCACTGCTTCATTTTAAGTGTGGACAAGCCCTCAGCAAGAACTTCTCATGTAAAGATTTCAGGCCTGGTCCCTTAAATCCCATGGGTTTATTTGAAATGCACCATTATACAGCAGAAATAAAGTCAATGAGGGTAAACAGATTTAAAACTAGCAAGAGAAAAAAAAATCAGCAACTTCAACTATGTTTTCCTTAATGAAATAATTCTATTCATCATCTGGCCACACAGAGAAGAAAACCTGGATTTGGAAAAAAAGAAAAAAGGGAGGGGGATGATAAACAAGGAGAGGAAAAACAAAAAGCCAACTCCATCCAGTGTTGCCTTGCACATATTTTGTGAGCACAGTACTCAAACTCAGACTACAAGCTCATCCTTCATTCATTAGTTCCTCCCAGTTTCATTTATGCTAGTCACTTTGTTCCAAGCCTTTTTCCTACTCTGGGCCAGCAGGTGGAGCAGCAGCTAATGTTTTTCAGTCCATTCAGAGCAAAGGAGCCCATCTTGTTCTTTCAGGAAGCTTCAGGAGGAGGGTCATAGCTCAGTGTGCAGCCAATCAGTGCCAACGCTGCCAGTTAACAGAGCAGAATGGGCTGTAGTTTAGTGAAATAGGAAAGCTGCAAAACAGTGTGGAGTGTTCCTATTGTAAATAAAAGAAAAAAAAAGTTTCTCAAGTCACAGCTCTACAACCTTGATCAAGTACTGGCACTGGAGTGTGTGCTTTACAAAAAAACAACACATTGGACTTTACTGTGCTGCATTAACCCCCTATTCCTATTGTTTGTATTTTTTTCAAAATATGGCAAAGGTTCAGGTGAACAATGTAGTGGTGTTGGATAATCCTTCGCCTTTCTACAATCCTTTTCAATTCGAAATCACGTTTGAATGCATAGAGGATCTGTCTGAAGGTGAGTAGATTTTTCCCCAGTACGGATTTTATAACCAGGGCTATTAGTTTCAGGTTTTAAACGGTTTAAACTTTGCAAAGGCCTGGTTCTACTATTTAACAGTTTCTCTTTCTCTGTCTCGGTGTGACTAGATGAAAGGATGTGCTGGCAGGCATCTAAATGCTGCTTAGAAATGCTCTGTCTTAGGCTGACGCGGTTAGGCTGAAAGGCAAAGGAAAGTTGATTATTGTGTCCTCTGCTGCAGAGTTGAGTGCTGCTGTATTTCGGATCCAAACCCTGCATTTTATAACGTAAGCTTAAGTTGCCAGGAACTTGTTTGAGTGGTGGTAGCCATGTTGCCAGCTTTGTGTTTGTGTGTGTCTGTGTGTGTGTGAGAGAGGGAGGGGGTTAACGAGCACATCTCTCATGCATCCCTTTTGCTGAAGTGAACTGTTGCTGAGCAGAGCCAAGAGGAATGCTGCCGAAAGGTTGCACAAAGTGGAGAACACCCCCCACCCCCAAGAAATAAAATATTTTCATTGTCTTGACAATCGATTCGAATACTTTGGGGGGAAATATTTCGAGAGGGGTGGGCTGCTCCAAGTAGAGATTCAAATGTAGCTGCAGCACTTAGTATTTTACAAAATGTCTGAAAATAATCAAACTAGCCGATTGAATCCCTTTACAGATTTAGTATTATTCCGGCTATTAACACTCCCCGCCCCGAGAGAGAGGAAGGGAGGGCGGGGGAGGGAAATAGTATTTTTAGAACTCACTTGAAAGTTGCTGTTGGGTGGTAGCCTGGGGGTGTAGGTGTACCCTGCTATGTCCTGCCAGCTAGGAATCTCAGGTTCTGTCTTCAAACCTAGTCTTTTGCTCCCCAGCCTGCCCAGAGCGGGGTGCGTTGTGCAGGGAGTGCGGTCAGCATGTATCCACCCACTCCTGAGTGAAGGGGGTGGACTAGACATTAACCTCTTGTGTCGCTCAGCTGCGACGCCTCCAGGGCTGGCTACTCTTACCAAATACTTTAGCAATCCACAGGCATCGTCCAAAAAGGTTTACAGCAGTGGTCCTACAGTGCATTGGGCCAGTGCTGCAGGTTAACAAGATGTTTACAGCAGAAAGTAAAATCCATTTCTCTTCTGGCCAGAGGAGCACTCTGGGACCCCTGGTCTCACCACTGGACTAAAAGAAGGGAGCAAGCTTCCTCCAGCTTCCCTCAGGAGCACTGGCACAACAGGTGAATGAAGCAGGCTAGTGACCAATCTTAAGCATTTGAGGGAGGAGTGGGAGTACCTTTGGCCACAAGGCATTTGCAGCTTGTGCTTTCTTGTGTCCCCCATGAAGAGGGCAGAACCATTAGGAGCTATTTATACCCTAACACTGTCAGTGACATGTGATACCTGGGGATCCCAACATTTTAAGCAGTAGGGGAAAATAAACTTACTGATTTCTGGTTTTACTTTATGGGTGACTAAACAGTTCAAAGCTTGGGTAATGGGATATGTGGGGTGTTTTGTATCTTTGTGCCACTAATACAAATCCAGTCCAAATCTGTAACTTTCAGTCATTGCTACTTTATTATGTATTGGTGACTTAACACAAAATGCATTTGGTGAGACCAGTTCCATGGGGAGCAAGTGTCCACATCACAGAAAACACCACCACATTTGGTCTATCATAATTGCTGGCACTCTCCATAAGGGCCCTGTGTACAATTAAGACTTGCTTAAATTATCTTACTGCTACCCTAGTATTAGTGCTGTTCACCATTTCTTTTAGTTGGAGAAGTAGCTGCCATTTTTTTGTAGGGATTCATGGTAAACACCTGTGCTGAGCCAGTGAGAAATTTTTTAAAGATTTCTCAAGTGTAAACAAGGCTTCCATGGTGTTACTCTTTAAGACTTTTTGGATGCCACCAATGCTGCAAAGAGCTTCAGCCCTCTCTTCCTATGTATGTGCATTTGTATTTATCACTCTCAACACCAGATTGATTTAAATGAAAGTTGGGCCAGGTTGATTAGTGTATAAATTAGCAGAAAAAAGAAGTTTACTTCATTTTTTTGCACTATTATCCCTGTGTTCAGCTGAGAATGAAAAGTAGAGGTACATCACAATCACCACATCTACTTCCATATGGCCACAGCTATTGAGCTTTCATAGAAGTCATTACAATGATTATTATTACAAATAATCTTCAAATAATCTTCATCATTTTATGAAGAAGGTTGTGTCCTTGCTTTAATGTCCAAACACTAAATATCTCAGTCATCTATTGTGCTTTTTTCTCCAAAGCAGACCAATCACTTGCCAATTTAATTTTAAAATTTCATCTATTTAGTCAAAACAATTTTAAAAGTTACTGTTGGACACAGAGTCCTAATAGGATTTGATAATTACCCTTTTTGCATACAATTCTGAAAGAGCATTTACTTCCTGTAACCGTGCCCCCATATGATTCCTAATCTGTTTTATACTATCAGTAGGGTTCCCAGATAGTTTCACAAAAAATACTGAACATGGCGGGGGAAAAAATTAGTTGAGCACAAAACAAAACAAACAAAAAAAAAAACCCACAAAAAAAGTCATGACGCCTTTAAATCCTACACTCCCGAATGTCCCAAGTGGCCTTCTGTCCGGAAAAAAACCCAGAAAATACCGGACATTTTACATGTCTGATATTTTCTGGTTTTGTTTTTTTTTTTTTTTTTAACTGGATAGTAGCTGCAAATACTGGTCCAATACTGGACACCTGGCAACCCTAACTATCAGTCCAGAATGACTTAAACAGTGCTTTGGGACAGTGGCTTATAATGGATGTGCAAGGAAAATTCTAGACAAAAACCATCAATCCTCAATTTTATATAGTTTATTTACATAGCAGGAATTGCTACAGTGGATCCGACCATTTGCCCATCTAATCTGATATCTTGTCTTGGTATTCCCAAAATTCTTTCCTGAATCCTATGAGTTATGCCACTTAAATAATAAACACACATAAAAGGCTGTGCTAAATGATAAAAGATAGTAAAGCAGCCAAGTTGTTACAATGTTGCAGTTTCTTCCTTATTTAGGCTCCTATCCTGCAACAGGAGTGCCTCGCATAGACTCCTGTTCGCACCTGTTCAGAGAAGCTCATTGAAAAGCATGGAATGACACAAGAGTATGCGCTGATGACAGCATATATACAGAATCAGTACACTGTTCCATACTGATACACAAGATGAAAATGGGTCACACCTGGTTTTTTTTAAAGGCAATATTTTGAAACATTTTAAAATAAGTTCTATTTTCAAAAAAGTAAATCACAAATGGCATTTTTCAATAAGAATAACCCATCAGAGCGACCTTTGCTTGTTTGTTTAGAATCCAGTAATTCTGGCAGGTTAGTTCTCCTGTATGTGTGTTTTATCTAGAAAGTGAAAGTTAAAAAATAAGTGGAAATAAAAATTAATGGATGTTAGTTGATAGTTTCAGTTTTTAAACAGGTAGTGTGGGCAAAGAGTGAGCACAGCAACACAAATGGGCTAAGAAATATGAACTATTAACGTTTCTTTAAATTGTATTATGAAACAATAAAACACAGAGTTTACATAAAATGGTTATAATTCAGTCTTAAGATTCAGGTTACAGCCAGACATCAAAACCTTTACTAACAGTATCCTGTAATCACAATATTATAATTATATATTCTTCAATGTTTGTAGATGTATGTATATTTGTACAATGAGCTATCTATTCAATTAACAACTATCCTGCTCTGAAAAAGAAAAATTGGTAGGGGACCCAAAATTGGATTTTGTGCTGCTCTTTATACCATGGCTACCACATGTGAATGAGCTCACTACTTCCCACATATAACTGTTCCTGCTGTGTCTATCTTCAGTGTCCATCTCTCCCCATCCATCTATATCTAAAAATGGCATTACACAGCCCTTTTCCAGGGGAGAGGGGAGGATACTATTTCCAAATAATGGTAGCAGCAAAGCTTAGCAGCAAAACTAATGGTAACAACAAAACTTAGAAAGCATACGTAGAGCTGTGTTGGTACAAATGAACAAGTGATCCATTCCCTTATGTTTAGTTATACCACTACAACTTTACATCAGCTTTAAAGCAGTATAATTATGCCAATAAATTTCTCCTGTTGACAACCCTTTAGCCTTTGTAGGCCAGCAGCTATGGAGGCAAGTTTGAGTGAATGTCCTAAATAAGCAAGATGTGGGGCCCCTTACCTAGAGCAATGGACTGACTTTTCCAAAGAGAGGCAGTTAAATTAGATGAAAATTGTGAGCATTTTGTAAAATGTTGTTTTTGTTTTAATGTAGATTTGGAATAAAAAATAA